ACACACACACACACACACACACACACACACAAACATATTCAATTTTTCATTCCAATCATTTTAGTTATTCATTCCTTTCTTCAAATCTATCTTAAATAGACTTCAATCGATCTATTCTTAATTCTCAGTCTATCCATTCCATTTTATTCTTCTCGACATTTTCATTTATTTTTTTATTCTTCCATCTTTGCTCGTTCCGCCTATCATTTCTTCAATTTAGTCAATCCGATTGAATTCAATCGTTCATCACTTTTAGAGGTCATCGAATAAAATTTTGCTATTACAACCATTTCGAAAATTCTTATACCATAAAAAATATACGTACATTTTTCATTTATTTACCATTACCAAAAAAAAATAGTAAAAATTACTATCATTCAAGAAATATTTTTTTCCCCTCTTTACAAACACTGTTGACCTTCGATATTTCTTTACAAAAAATCTTACAATATCTAAAAAATAGTGATAACATATATGGTATATATTTGTGGTTAACGATACGTATTATAACGAATTATATCCGTGTTACATTTTTTAAATATAATTACATATTGCAAGAACTGAAATAATGAATAAGTAATCAAATGATATATGAAACATAATATACTTAAAAACTATTTAATGATTGCTAATTATTAATCAATAAATGATGAATTTGTTTTGTTAGATTAGGAAAAAATGATCAAACTTTTACATCAATTTTCTATCCCATTTTTCACATACATTTCCATAATTAAATTCTTTTAAAAAAAAGAATTGTAAAAAAAGAACATATTTAATAAATGTTTGATAAAATTATGAAATAAAAGGAGAAGAAAACAAAAAAAGAATTGTTGTAAAAATTGATTACAATTGGTTAATTCATACAAAAAAAGACAGATAGAGATGAATTTTAAGTAACAGAATAATTTTGATGACAATTATCCTATTGCTTAAAAAAAAAAATTCAGCTTTATAGATGATAAATTCTTTCAAAATAAAAAACAAAAAAATTTTTTTAAACAAATGTTAGCTTTAATAATTGAAAGAACAATATCCGATAAAGCTATGCTTTTTCTTTTATTTTTATTTTTTAAAAATGGTATTGTTTATCGTTCACTTTCGTAAGAAATTCAGAAAATTTTAAATTACCAAAAGAAAACATTAATCCAAAATTATAACTGTTTAAAAATGTTTCAGAAATAATTATTTCCAAAACATTTTTTCTAACTCGTAGGATAATTTCTAATTAAAAAATTCAACTCGTAATTGCCACCTGCGCACCTTTCTTTTTTTGCTCTGCCTTATTTTTTATAAATGGGAAAAATTAATGAATTGGTAAACTGATTCGGTCTGCTGATTTTAGCTATTTCGTTGTAGTTAATATGACAGCACAAAAAAAAGAAGATAAAGGAAACGAAACAAAGAAAATTCATTTCTTTGCAAATAAAAAAGAAAAAAAAGGAATCACCCCAAAAGCTTTATCTTAACGAATCATTTAAATATTATTAAATTATATATTCCATTTCTTGTTCCGTCTTCCAGTAATTCTTATGAGTACATTTTACTCTTGAATTATACGATTTAAATTTTGCCAATTTGATTGTAATTTTTAATTCCTTCCCTAATCAAAATTAAACTATTTTCGTTATCATATCATATCAATTCCAATCTAATTTCGTTTCTGATATCCTGTAATTATCCAAAAAGAAAGAAACAAAGTACAAGTAATAATAGCGATCAAAGAAATCAAAGAGAATGGTGTTAGAAAATTTGTTTCTTTAATAAAGTTGGACTTTTTTTTCTTTTTTTTATAAAATTAGGGAATGAAAAATTCATAGTTTTGTTAATTACTGAAAAAAATCTTAAAATTAAAGTATTAATGTTTTAGAAAATTTAAATGCTAAAATTTCAAATAAAATAAGTCAGAAAACAATGAAATGTTGTTTTCTCACAATCCATTATTCCTCTCTCTCTCTCTCTCTCTTTTTTTCCTTTTTTCTTGTTGACAAAAAAAAGGATTACAAACAACAAATGTATGAATTTGAATGTCTAACTTGAATTTATATTATTGCCAATGGATAAAATGAAGATGAAAGGATGAAAAGGGAAGTTTTGTTGACTATTCATGAAATTTTTTACACTCAAAATTACATAACAAGTGTGAAAAGATTGAGAAAAATTTGCAATTTTAAATATAATTAGAAAAAGTTAAAATATGAAACGAGAAATGAGATAACTGATGATAATACTAATAAGAACAATAGTAATGATAAATAATAAATAGTAATAAATAAATAACAAACATTAATAAATAATAAATAATAATGATAACAAATAACAAATAACAAATAACAACAAATAACATAAAACAAATAAGGAATAATAAATAACAGATAAGAAATAACAAATAACAAAAAACAAATAACAAAAAACAAATAACAAATAATAAATAACATAACAACAAACAAATAACAACAAACAAATAACAACAAACAAATAACAA